GCACCTTCAAGCCAACAAGGTATCCATGCACCTCCACAATGAAGGAGCTTGGAATCTATGAAGACTGCATCAGCACCTCCACAACCACTCCCATCCTATGAGCGCTTTACCCATCAATTCCTCTCCACCCTCAAGGTGGTTTACTATGAGCAGAGTGAGCTTCCTGACCATGATGGATGGATTTCTTTCAAGCTTGGGAAACAGAAGTTCAAGGTCACCTTCCAGGAACTCTCTAAAGCACTGGAGCTGAGCACCTACTTTCAAAGAGGGAAAATTTTATTGATCCATGAATCGCAGCACACAAGGTTTTGGGAGATAGTTGGAGTAGGGGAATTCAAAGCTGGAGCTACGAAAAACCAACACTTAAAGCATCCTGCAGTTAGATATGTACATAAGGTTCTTGCAAACACATTCTTTGCAAGGAAAGAAACCTCTCATCTAACTGGCAAGGAGAGAGACTTTCTCTACAGTGGATTGTACACCGGACCAGGCACCAGCAGATGTGCAGTGCCAATCAGTCCACCAAGCAAGTTCCCATGCCTTGTAAGACTGTTGATGGAGCAGCTGCAATCTTATCAGAACTAGGTTATCAACAAAGGAAGAAAGGAGAAGAATCCGCAGATGCACATTGGAGGAATTGTGACAGCAATTCTCATGGCTTGTGATGTAGACCTGGAGGAGCATGCTGAAGATGCTCTGAATCCTATCTGGATAGATATAAACTATCTTAAGAGGAGTCACTATCTTGAGAAGAGTGTTCAGGGCAAGTATGTTTACCAGTTCATCAACAATCACTCAGAACCAGTGAGAATCCTTCTTCCAAACCCAAGGGTAACCTCCTTCACCACACCAGCGAACATCAGCTTCAACATAAGTGAGGAAGAGCTCTACACAGGCGGCCCTGTTCCTGGAGAGGAAGAAGAAGGCAGTGATGTAGAGGAGGAGCACAATCAAGAGATCAGAGAAGAAGAAGAAGAAGATCAAGGGAATGCTAATGCTGGCGCTGATTTTCAAGGAGGAACCCATGAAGAAGATGAGCTTGCAGAAGAGGAAGTGTTGAACTACAGCTCAAGGCAGCTCCACTTCCAGCCTTATGCAGCATCCAACCAAGGAAGCTCTTTGAGAGCAGCTCATGAGCACATCAGCACACTCCAGAAGTGGTGCAAGTGGCAGGATAAAGCCATCAAAGGGCTTATGAAAATGATGAAAGGGAAGTTCAAGAAGAACAAGGCTACATCAGCAAGAACTTCCCACCACATTCACACCCATGAGCTCAACTCTCAACAAGAAGAGCAACTTCAGCCAACTGAAGAGGAGGAAGCTATATGGAACCCCCATGGAAGACATTCATTTCATACATAACCAAGTGACCAGTGGGGTACATGGGAACGGGAACAACCAAGGGCTTCATCTTATGAGCCAAGAGCCCATGTTCCATCAGCTTGGGAGGCGCCAAACCCCAACTCCTCTGAAGTTCAGGAAACATGGCAATGGGGCTCACAAGGAACTTCTTCACAAGCTGAGCAACTTTGGTCAAGCTGGGTTCCACCACCTCAAGCAGCACAGCATTCCACTATTGTTTATGAAAGAAAGAAGAGGAGAGCTAGCAAGTCTCCACAAACCTCAGGATCATCCCACCACTCCTGCCACTAAACCAAGTACCACATCCTTTCCATTGTTATATACCATTGCATCTTTTCATTTTTGTAATATATTTTGTTGCTTCTCTCTTCCATTGCTTTCATTACACAAGGGACTGTGAAATTTAAGTGTGGGAGAGAGATTTGGGGTTTGACTTTGTGTTCTGTTTTCTTAGTTTTTCTTTTTCTTTTCACTTTGAGTCTCATGCATATCATGCACACATGTAAGGCATAGAAAAACACACAAAAAAAAAATCGAACAAATTTGAAAATCTTTTGCATTTTTTGCAAACCAAAAAGAAAGCATGTAGTTGCATTTCATTCCTTTAAGATTGAGTCTAGTGTTGACATATAGGTTGCATTGCATTTGCATAGGGCATCATGATGAATTTTCCTTGTAAAGTGCTTAGTGTTTAGAGATGATTTCAGTTTTCAAGTGCTTAGTTGTTTGATGCATCATATGATTGCTAGAAGTTAAGGCTGAACCATGCTTAGATTGCTAGATTTGGTCTTCTCATCTCATTCTGAAAGCATTTGTTCTCTGAAAACCAACTCTATCAACTTGAACTTTAATTTGGACTTTCAATTATCATGTTTTCTGCATTGAAAAATGAATTCATGGCTACCATATACATATTTGGATCATCTTTCTCCTTTCTACCACTCTTGTTGATCCAAATAGCTGTTCCTCGTACTTATGGGACAGTTACATCCTCACCCTTAGTGTGAGGCCTTTGCATTGCATTTTCGATTTTGTCTTGGCAAAAAGTGTTAGGAATAAGGCTGGCAATGATTAGATTTCTTGTAGATATCAGCTTACATCTTGAGCTTGATTCTAGGATAGGAGTTTTTGGGGTTTGAAAGAGTTAGGTGGTTTGAGCTTAATGTTTTTTATCTTTTGAAAAGAAAAGGGAAAGATTTGAAATGGTAGATAAAGGGGAAACAGTTTGTTATTGTGGTTAAGCAAAGGGAAGAAAAGCTCTAAGTTCAAAAGGAAGAATTGGCGCCAACAACAAAGCTCAGAGAGGGTCCAAAGAAGAAAAATCAGACCAGGAGCAATCCACCAAAGGTGATGAAGGTGCCATTACAATAAAGAAGAGCAAGTCCCAACCAAGAAGAAGCAACCACGCAAGCAGAATGAAGAAGGTTTCCCCAACCATGAATAAGAAGAAAGAAAAGGGTAGAGTTTAGGAAAGGGTAGACTAAGAGGGTTCACTTTTGGGTTTAGAAATGCTTAGGACTCATCTTTGGGAAGTAAGGGTAGAAGAGGGCTTTGAATTGCATGCATAAGTGTGCTTTTACCTTTAGCATTTTGCCTAAGATGAAGTCATTTCATTGAGTGATCCTTTATGTCTTTAACCCTGTGCTTAAATGAGATCATTCTTGTCTCATAACCTTACCCCTTTTCAACCAAATGTCTTCACTTGATTTGTATAAGCATGATTCATGTTCTGAACTTAATTGAATGTTAAAGAGTTGATTGATTTGAGCATTTGCCAAAGTTGAGATTTGAGATCATTTTGAAACATGATGAGCACAGCTAGGTTCTTTTAAGTATAGCTGATTGTGTTTGCATCCTACAACTAGGCACTTGAGAATTAAAACCATCTCTTTACCTTTGCACTTTTGGAATCTGAATGCCCACTTTCAAACCTCACTCTCCCATTTGTTCTTACTTGCTTGAGGACAAGCAAAAGGCAAGTGTGGGGGTGTTGATATCCCTTGTATTTACACCATTTAGGGCTGCATTTAGTACATGTTTTGGTCCTCTTTTGCATATTTTCCCTTAGCTTTTGTCTCATTTTCTTCTCCTTTTAGACTTAGGTTGCATTAGGAGTATATATTGCATTTTCCTTGCATATTGGATGTTTTTAGGTACTTTTGGAGCTTAAAGAAGCTTGGAGGAGCTTTAGGAATGATCCAGGAGGCTAGCTGGACAAAAGGGAGCAAGAAGGATCAAAGCAGAAGATCTCTGCAAAAGTTTTCGGTCAGAGCCTGGTGATTTTCGGTCTCTGGTGACCGAAATGGAGCAGTATCGATCACCAGTATCGGTCTGATGTGGTCGACACAAACACACCGTTCTAATTTCGGTCGTATGTGTCGACCTCCAGTGACCGATACAGATAAATTTCGGTCACTGGAGGTCGACACAACTGACTGATACTGACCCAGCCCGAACCTGTTTTTAATTACACTTTTGCCACCTTTCTAGGGTTTTCTCCCTTAGGCTATAAATAGCCCCTTTTTCCATATTTTCGAGAGGTCTTGTCAAAATACTGTTCTTAAGCTATTTCTTTAAGTTTGTAAGACATTTTCTTTGCTTTGTTTAATACAATCAAGTATTTGCTTTAATCTTTCTTTAATCTTTCTTTTAATCATGATTAGCATCTTCTCCCTTTGTGATTTTGTGTTAAACATGATTATGAGTGAGTAGTTACCTTAGGGTTTCTAAATGTGGTAGATTAGGGGAATCTATGGCTTGATTAAGGCTTGTTATGTGCTTCTGTTTATGGGTTCCTCTCTATTAATCTGTTATTCATGCTAGATTAGTCTTGATCAAACTGGTCTAGGTTGTTAGCTTTCTCTTATGCCCACCAAGTGTTTGATGAAATGCTGAACCTTTTTAATAGAGGATTTGCTGGCCTTGGCTCAAGAGATTGGCTGTTTGAAGAGTATTTTAAGTTGAATAGAGTTGATTAGTCTTGCTTGCTTGATGTTTTAGCACTAATGAGAGTTAGTTCTTGTTAAGATGTTTAGCAAAGGGTTATTTGCCAAGAGATTGGATCTAACTAGCTTAGTTGTGAACTCTATGTCTAGGAACCACCATTGCTTGCTTACTTGCTTGATCAATGTAGTTAGAAACAGCCTTAATCAATGTCTGAAATTTCTCAAAGTCAATAACCACATCTAGGAACTTGTCTTTCCCTAATTTGAATTTCGAATTTGCTATGTTTCACTCTGTTTTTCTTGCTTAGAATTGCTTAGTTTGCTTTTGCTTTCACCTTGTTGCTGCTTGTTTCACTTAGGTTGTTAGAACTGTTGCTTAGGCAACAAAACCCCTTTCCTGGCTTGCTTGACTTAGAGATTCCACTCTCAACTCTTCTGTCTTTCAACTCTTCCCATTTGGATTGATACAACCCTTTGCTATACTGCAACTGACTAGTACAAGCTAGGGCAATTGTCCTAGAAGGGGTAAAACCCTTGTATCAATACTATATACCAACCTTACTGTCTCGTCATTATCCACCCAATCTTGATAAGATGATAGCAGCTCATATCTTGGGGATTGAAACGGATCAACATAGGATTTGGTTCAGGAGTCGTGATTAGAGCTGGGTTTGGCAGCGCTCTGAAGGGACTTTATGTAGTCTTATTTTGTTTTGGGTCCCTGTTGCTCCTCCTTAGAAACGTTTTCAACCTCTTAGCTGGACGATCACCTTCATCATCAACTCTCTTCTCCTTTGCTTTTCTGTTTGCAACAGTAGGACGAATCCTCAACATATCCACAACCTTCACATGATTTTCGTGTTCAGCAGCAGACTCTTCGTTAGCACTTGTATCCATAGCTACAACAGACGCTGTATCCTTCTGAAAGGATAATCCCATCTTCTCCGAAGTAACCTGTAACCACAAAAACATGCAACGTACGATTGATACAAGTTTCAGAAAGTAAAGGTTAATGGTTTTGTTTTAAGAAATTCTAACCTCATCCGTCTGATTTCCCACCCCACTTGGTGATGGTTGCCATAAAACAATAGCCATATAAATTGTTCCCTTAACATTCTGAAAAAATAAAGATTTTTATGGAATGTTAAAAAAATTTCTTAAAGAATTGACAGATGTTCAGAAATACCTTACAAAATTATCAAAACGCAAAAGAATACTGATTTTCTTACAGTAGTTTCATCTTTTTCTTGGCTTCCATAATCATTGTCAATTTCTGTGGGTTCAGTGCCTCCAACCGTCTCCGTGGATGTAACCACGGGCGGGGTTTGCACTTGGAAGCACAACATTTTTTGGGTTAGGAAGGTTTGACAAATGTTCAGGAAGACCTTACTAAAATATCAAAACGCAAAAGAATCCTGATTTTCTTACTGTAGTTGCATCCCTTTCTTGGCTCCCATCATCATTTTCAACTTCCGTGGGTTCAGTGCCTCCAACCGCCTCTGTGGATGTAACCACGAGCGAGGTTTGTACCAGGAAGCACAACATTTTTTGGGTTAGGAAGGTTTGACAAATGTTCAGGAAGACCTTACTAAAATATCAAAACGCAAAAGAATCCTGATTTCTTACTGTAGTTTCATCCTTTTCTTGGCTCCCATCATCATTGTCAGCTTCCGTGGGTTCAGTGCCTCCAACCGTCTTCGTAGATGTCGATATCACAGGCGGGGTTTGTACCTGGGAGTCCATCTTGTTTTGCTAGGAACTTTTAACACATGTTCAAGAAGACCTAACTAAAGTAATGAAATCCAAAAGAAACAAGAATAGCTAACAATTTGTTGCTCCTCCATTGGTTGGGTCCTTTCATCCTTTTCCATCTGTGTTTGTGCTATCTCTTGTTCTTTGCTACTCTCAGTTGTCTCATCATTGTTCATCTGCAAAACAATAGATGACCGCATATTAGTTCCGAAATGTTTTAGCAAATGTAGATGGCAAAAAGCAGACATCTCTGCGTTTTTCTGCAGTGTAATTACAAATTAGGTAAAAATTTTGGAACTGTTCTGGAGATCACAAGGTTTTGCCACAGTATGAATGATGTACATGTATATCCACATCCACAGGAGGATCCCACGCCTCGTCCACCCATTCTCTATGAATCTTTACGTCACCAATCTGGAACTTAAGGTTTTTCTCGACATGATGAAGGTGGATAGAAAATTCTGGACCATCGAGAAGCGCTTGAACATACCCTCTGCACCAGTGGTCATAGTGGTAGGCATCAACGTATTGCGTGAGTGTCAAAACGTCGGTGGAACGTTCTGCCTCAGGCAGAGGAGGCGGTGTAGGACGGATCCGCATCACTTGGACATTCTCATACTTACCAAAGCTCAAGAACTTCAAATAATAGCTATGGATAGGACCTAGACCTGGCTGTCTATTTATCAACGAAGCAGAAAACCACTTGTTATCTTCACCCGATACCTCGACTAAAGCACCTTCCGTCAAGTAAGGTTTAGGACTCGTGCCTGATATCCCTTTTGCAGGAGCAGCTTTACCAGCGACGAGTCCGCAAACTATCTGGGAAACCAACATTTGTGTTAGGAACGCTTAACAAGAGGTAAAGGAAAACCTTCCCAAAATATGCTAAAGAAACTTGAAATCTAACATTTTGTTTTGTTCCCTCAATTTTGTCCATTTTTTTTGGTCTGGTGCCTGTAACTGCTTCAGTGAAAGTTGCCACAGGCCGGGTATGTACCTGGAACTCCAACATTTTTTGTTAGGAGCATTTAGCATAGATTCAGGAACACATTCCAAAAACTTTTGAATACAAGGGAAACAAGAGAGAATCTAACAGTTTGTTGCTCCAATGGCATGGACGCCTTATTCTTTCCCATCTGTGTCTAGGGCACCCGCTGTGATTTGTGTCTCTCTTGATCCAGTGGTATGGACACCTTATCCTTCCCCATCTGTGTCTGGGGCACCCGCTGTGATTTGCCTTTCCCTTCTGCCACATTTTTGTTCATCTACAAAACAACACACGATAACGTCAACACCACACATTTTTTTCTCAAGTATAATTTTGGAAGAATTCCTAATTCAGTGGAAGGCTTTCATAAAATGCAATCTGGATATCTAATTTTCGTGTTCCTAGGTATAATCTAGTATCTCGTCTGGCTAATAAATCCATACCTGATTTAGCGAATCATTTCGTCGCGAACCAGTGGTGTTTAAACATGTCGATACGTCCACAAGAGTAAGCTCCTTCAAGGAAAAACCAAAAACAGCCTGTTGTTAGAATATTTATTAAAAAACAAGCTCTGATCATATATATTTTTTTTCAATACCTCATCAATGGAATCGGAAGGATCATATATTCTCAGCTTTTGTTCAATCTTTGATAATCGAGAACGGATATGTGTCTGTCCATCTTCGAACATCTTGATGAGCTTGTTAATCTTCGCCTCTACTGATTCTTCTTCTGAAGAAGGTCTGGAATTTTGTCTCGCTCTTTCTGAACGAGGATAGCGATATGACTGCGATGCAATGTATTGCAATGCAACGTCTCTCTTCAAAACCCCTCTTCTCCATTGTTCATGCGTTAGCTCGAAACCTTTGTCCAACAGATCCACAAGTGAATGCAGATCTTCATCGTCTTCGTCTTGCATAAACACGGTGTCTTCGAGGTCACCATGTATTTTGGGAAGGATATGTACCACACCCACCTGCACAGTAAAAAAAAGACATGTCATTCATCGATGTTTTGTTAGGAAAGCCTTCCTAAACTAATGACACATATTCTAGATAATCAGAGAGGTAAAGGAAGGCACTTACATCGCTTTCGCTTTGATGGGAGGAGATGTTGTGTGAAGATATTTCACACACAAAAAAGCTGTGGGCGGGACTGTTTTGTCAATCGTAGAGAAAGCCGATTACAGCTTGGGTACGGATTCTAAGATCCATAGGTGAAGCGCAACAGGGAACCCGTCCAGAGGGTACTTGGCCTTTTCTAGACTATTTTCCACAGTCTTCTTCACTGATTTTAACAGCATTTTGTAGGCATCTATCCCCCAATGATGATTCAGCAATATATCCATGTGTTGTGCTTTCTGTAAATTAGATGTGGGGAACATAGCCTTTGAATACATATGCAGAAAAATTGTCTCGATGAGCAGCACTATAGCCAAAGAAAACCTCTCATCATGAGCATCTTCTCCCGATTCGATCATGAGTGTTATTAGCTCGTCAGGTGAATGCCCATCCTCCAATCCTCAACATCAGGCAACCATTCTGTGCATTTCAGCCCCGTTACCATATGGAATTCTCTTATAGAGAAGCTCATAGGATGTCCATGAAAATGAAACCAGAGCTTCTTATCCTTCTTGGTTATCAGGCACTTGGACATAATGGTGTGAATCATTTTCCCTGCCATAGAGAGATTCCTTGAACAGAACTGCAAAACCGGACCAAAGAAAGAATCCCCGATTCTCTTAAACTGCTCAGGCCCGAGTATCTCCTTCACTTTGGCGATGTACTTGAAGTCCGAGTACTTGTCTATGGCCTTGAACCCACTCATTGGTTCTTTCCCCATCTCGTATTTGAGTTTAGGAAGTGTGATGTCCATTTTCAACTGCTACAAGAAAAGAAACGAAGAATGTCACAACAGAAACGAAAAATGTCACAATAGAAATAAAAACTGTCACAATTTGAATCTTAGAACGACCCTTCATAATTCGAAATTAACGTTTCCCTCTACACAAATCTATAAACAAACCCCACAATATCTTAAATCACTCAAAATTGGTAAATCATGATCGAAAGAGATCGATTTTTCTGAGTCGTCGAGATGAGAGAAGTTTTTCGGGGCAGGAGTTTCTTACTGAATCTTAGTTGTCGCCTTCTCTGTCGCCGATGTCTTCTTCGCCAATGCACCGCCAGCAAAATCCGGGTTTTCACTGTAAATCGCCGTCACCGCTGTAAATTAGGTTTTTATCTGGAAATCGTCTTCGATGTCGTCGATAAGGAAGGGTTCCCAAAAGTAAATAATTTTTATAAACTTGTTAAAATATAAAAATATAACTTCGAAATGTTGGAAAACTACAACGATTCAGCCACAGTGGTTAGTGCTTATTCGATTTAACAAACGTGTCTCCCGTTCGATACAACCTTAGGTTATAATTTGACCTTTTTTGTTTTTTGCTTTACTGTTTAGGAAGCCCTTTTCGAAAATGTTGCAATTGATTCCTAAATATTGAGGGAAGAAGGGACCCAAACATAATTCCTGGAATTTAGGATAACAGTCCAAAACTTTAAAATTACCAAAACAATTTTTGAATATTCATTTCGGAAGCCTTCCAGAATCATTTTCTCTTTGCAAGTTTCAATAAGGAAGGCTTTAGAAATCATTTTCTTTTTACCAAGTTTCATCTAAGAAGCCCTCCTAAACCATTTTTTCGAATATTCATTTAGGAAGCCTTCCTAAATCATTTACTCTTTCCTAAGTTCATTTAGGAAGGCTTCCTAAACTTTTTTCTTTTTTCCTAGTAACCATTAAATTACTTTGTCATGAAAATCAATTTGAAATGAATGAAATACAAGGTCCGAAATAAGTACAACTGATTGCTAAACCAAAAGCAACATTGTTTAAAAACCAAATATACATACCATGTATTCAAATCCATGTTGTTTTTCTTCTTATATCCAGGTTTGCAAACAACACATCTAAAAACATCGTTACAATCATTAACCATTTTAACAAATGGCAACTAACACCACCAGCATAATTCATTCTATTTTTTGTTCAGAATATGCATATCACATATCCGTTTGTTTGAACCGTTTGCTCCTTCTTAGAGATGTTTTCTCTAGCTCTTCATTCTGCTCTTTCTTCTCTTTCTTTTTCTTCACTTTCTCCTTCTTCCCTTTCTCCTCCTTGGATTTCACCTTCTCCACTTTCTCCTTCTCCGGTTTACCCTTTGATAAGAAGACAGGCTTTCGTAAAAACGGGGCATGTGAAAGTTTTTAACTAGTTATATACACAAAAAACTTGGTGAAAAATAGTTTTAGGAAATGAATTTTACCTTCACAATGTCTTCTACCGTGGTGGGCGAAGCAGACGTCAGTGCATTTTCCTACATCATTCAATCAACTTAGTTAATCTTTTTGTATTATTTTAAAGAATACAGGGTTTTATCACAGTAAAAATGATGTACCTGGATAGCCACATCCACAGGAGGATCCCACGCCTCGTACACCCATTGTCTAAAAATCCTTGTTTCCCTAACGTCTACTAGTTGTGTTTTGTCGATATCATAAAGGTGGATAGAAACCTCTGTACCCTCGGTAGGCGCTTCCACACACCCTATGCACCAGTGCTCATTGTGGTAAACCTCAACGAGTTGCCCAAGCTCTAAAACATCGGCGACATGTTCTTCTTGAAGCAGCTGAGGCGGTGTAGGACAGATCCGCATCTCTTGGACATTCTCATACTTATCAATGCTCAAGTACCTCAAATAATAGCTGCGGATAGGACCTAGACCAGACTGTCTATTTATAACTGAAGCAGGGAAGCACCTGTTATCATCACCCGATACTTTGACTAAAGAACCTTCCGTCAAGTATGTTTTAGGACTCGCGCCTCTAATTCCCTTTACAGGAGCAACGCTAGGAGCGACAAGTGCGGAAACCACCTGGACGTCCAACATTTTATGTTAGGAACGTTTAACAGATGTTCAGGAAGACCATACTAAAATATCAAAATGCAAAAGAATCCTGATTTTCTTACTGTACTTTCATCCTTTTCTTGGCTCCCATCATCATTGTCCATTTCTATTTGTCCCGCGCCTGCAAACGTCTCAGTGGATGTAACCACGGGCAGGGTTTGTACCTGGAAGCCCAACATTTTTTGGGTTAGGAACGTCTAACAGATGTTCAGGAAGACCTTACTAAAATACCAAAATGCAAAAGAATCCTGATTTTCTTACTGTAGTTTCATTTTTTTCTTGGCTCCCATCATCATTGTCAGTTTCTGTTTGTCCCGCACCTGCAACCGTCTCTGTGGATGTAACCACGGGTGGGGTTTGTACCTAGAAGCCCAACATTTTTTTGGTTAGGAACGTCTAACAGATTTTCAGGAAGACCTTACTAAAATACCAACATGCAAAAGAATCCTTATTTTCTTACTGTAGTTTCATCCTTTTTTTGGGTCCCATCATCATTGTTAGTTTCTGTTTGTCCCGCGCCTGCAACCGTCTCCGTGGATGTAAACACGGGCGGGGTTTGTACCTGGAAGCACAACATTTTTTGGGTTAGGAATGTTTAACAGATGTTCAGGAAAACCTTACTAAAATATCGAAACGCAAAAGAATCCTGATTTTCTTACTGTAGTTTCATCCATTTCTTGGCTCCCATCATCATTGTCCATCTCTGTGGGTTCATTGCCTCCAACCGTCTCCATGGATGTCGATATCACAGGCGGGGTTTGTACCTGGAAGTCCATCATTTTTTGTTAGGAACTTTTAACACATGTTCAGGACTAAAGTAATGAAATCCAAAAGAAACAAGAATAGCTAACAGTTTGTTGCTCCTCCATTGGTTGGGACCTCTCATCCTTTTCCATCTGTGTCTGGGCTATCTCCTGTTCTTTGCTACTCTCAGTAGTCTCATCATCGTTCATCTGCAAAACAATAGATGACAGCATATTAGTCCCAAAATATTTTAGCAAATGTAGATGGCAAAAAAATGTTTAAAGTACCTTATCAGTTTTTTTGTTGTTTCAACCACACCAATTCCATTGACAGTATATGTTCTTGAAGGTCCTACCTCCATTGGGTCTATACCAGTTTGATGGTGCACATGAGTCGAGACGTCAGAATCTCCGTCATCAGATATATCCTCCTTCAAGCAAAAACAGATAACAGCGTGATGTTAGAAAATTTATCAATGAACAATCTCTAACAAACATATATATATATATATATATTTTTAATCATTACCTCATCAATGGAATCTGAAAGATCATATATGCCAAACTTTTGCTCAATCTTTGATAATCGAGAACGGATATGTCTATGTCCATCTACGAATATCTTCTTGAGCTGGTCAAGCTTCGCCTCTACTGACTCGTCTGAAGAAGGTGGTCTGGAGTTTTGTCTTGCTCTTTCTGAATGGGGATAGCGATATGACTGCGATGTAATGTATTGCAATGCATCGTCTCTCTTCACAATCTTTCTTTTCCAGCGATCATGTGCCAGCCTGAAGCCTTTCTCTAACAGATCCACAAGCGAATGCAGATCTTCATCGTCTTTGTCTTGCAAAAACACGGTGTCTTCGAGGTCACCATGTATTTTTGGAAGGTTGTGTACGACATCCATCTGCACAGTCAAAAAACACACACAAGTCATTCAGCGATGTTTGTTAGGAAAGCCTTCCTAAAATAATGACAAATATTCTAGATAATCAAAGAAGTAAAGGATGGCACTTACATCGCTTTCGCCATCTATGCTGAAAACAGCTTTGATGGTAGGAGATGTTGTGTGAAGATATTTCACATACAAAAAAGCTGTGGGCGGGCCTGTTTTGTCAATCATAGAGAAAGCCGACTGAAGCTTGGGTACGGCTTCCAAGATCCATAGGTGAAGCGCAACTGGGAACCCGTCCAGAGGGTACTTGGCCTTTTGTAGACTGTTCTCCAAAGTCTTCTTCACTGGTTTTAAAAGCAATTCGTAGGCATCTATCCCCCAATGATGATTCAGAAAGACATCCATATGTTGCCCTTTCTGTAAATTAGATGTGGGGAACATAGCCTTCGAATACCTATGCAGAAATATTGTCTCGATGAGCAGCACCATTGCCAAATAAAACCTCTCATCATAAGCATCATCTCCGGCTTCCATCATGAGTTCTATTAGCTCGTCACGTGAATGCCCATCCCCCAATCCAGACCAATCATAGTTGTTTGCCTCTTCCTCAATATCAGGCAACCATTCTGTGCATTTCAGCCTCGTGACCATATGGAATTCTCATATAGAGAATCTCAAAGGCTGTCCACCAAAATGAAACCAGAGCTCCTTGTCTTTATTGGTTTCCAGGCTCTTGGGCAGAATGGTGTGGATCATTTTCCCTGACATAGAGAGATTCCTTGAACAGAACTGCAAAGCAGGACCCAAGAACGAATCCTCGATTCTCTTAAACTGCTCAGTCCTGAGTATCTCCTTCACCTTGGCGATGTACTTGAAGTCCGAGTACTTTTCTATGGCCTTAAATCCATTGACAGGTTCCTTCCCCATCTCGTATTTGAGTTTAGGAAGTGTGATTTCTATTTTCAACTGCTACAAGAAAAGAAACGGAAAATATCAGTGATTATAAGAAACACAAATCGAAAAACATACAATAACCAAACCTAACAACACATTTTTGAGAGTTGACAAATAACACTTAGAAGGTGCTCCTAAATCTCGATCAGAAAGAAAAAAAGAAGAGCCAAACATAGAACTTTTTGAAGGTGATACAAGCCTCAAATGCTTAAGGAATGAGCCTTAGGATTTGTTGCTTAAGTTGGATAGGATGGAAGAGAAGACTGGTGGTTTTGTAGCCTTGTTGATGCTTGATGACCTCAAACACCAAGGGTTAGACTCTTCTCAGCTCAAGGGCTAATCCTCACAAGAGCTTAGGAGATTCTACACGAAATTCTTCTAGGTTGAATCCTCAAAACACTTAAAGAAAACGCAGCAACAATTTGTATGCAAAGACACACTTTCTTTGAAAACAAAATAACTTCTTTTTGATTATAACTTGGGTAAAATGAAAAGTACAATGCTTTGAGCTTTATATAGGCTCGAAAATAATGAAATACAACAGTCATAAACATTAAAAATGGGGCAAAGATCAAGCTGAATGATGACTGATCTCTTTACTAGCCGTTAGGCTTCAATGAGCATATCCTTGACTTTGGCGATGAATGGGGAGGTTGTGATGATTCTTTGGCATGAAATGAATGTGAGGGATCTTCTAATGATGATGGATGGTCGAGATTGAGTGATGAGGGTGGTCGTTGGTCTTCAATATTGAATAGATATGAGTGATGATCTTCAAATAGGGAAAGCTTCTCCTTAATGTAGCTTTCTTTGACTTCTGATGGAATGGGGCGATTAATGACTTGTTCTGGTGTGTTATGACTCTTGTTAGCTGCTGTGGACGTGAGGAGGGTCGAATATAATGTCTTCATACAAGTGATATCCGTTGTTTCCTTAAATGGCTCGCTGAATGCTTCTCTTGGCTTAATCGTTGGTTTAGGTGGATTTGGGGGATCTCCTTGGTTAAATGGTGGCTTGCACTGAACCAGGGACGGTTTGTGGCTCTCCTTAGTTCCAAAGAATGATTTAGGTCGGTCGAATAATATGTTGGTGTAACACATATTGCGACTTTCCTTATCTAGCTCATCCGGCGGTTCAAGGGTAGTATCTCTGATTTTAGATCAAAACGGCCTGGGTTTAGCTCGATCAATTTGCTCCTTGGGATGTATACAATGCTGGCGTTTTGGTGTTTGGTCCTTAGCTGCTCCATCCTCAGCTACAAGGCCTTCATTCCCCACGGCTACAAGCTGTTCTGCACCATCTTTAGCTCCAAGGCTCCACTTCTTGGTTGTTTTAAGTGAATGGGACTTGATTATTACATCATCCTCTCCCTCTTGTAGAGTTTTTGTCCTCAAAACTTTAGAACCTGCATCAAACAACCCGAAGTTAGTCTTTGGAAAATGTTTTAAGTTTAAGAACTTACCTTGGGAACTGGCTTGTAGATGCTCCATTAGATGAATGAATGGAATGTCTTTGGCTTCCTTAAGCTCCAGTGTTGATTTAAAATCAACTAAGGGTGATTTCTCCTTAGCAAACATCAAGCTTTCACCATTATTACCCACGCCAATCTCCTTAGCTTTCTCATCTTTGAACTCTTGCTCTTTAATTCCTGCAAAACAATTATTTGACAAAGACAAGTGCATCATATCTGTGGGACTTAAATCTGAAAACTCTTGAATAGCAAAATAACTACTCTTTCCTTTAGCTCTGTTTTGTAAAACTCTAACCTCTTTTTGTGGTAAAGGAGCAAGAATAAACTTACAATGATTGAAAGAGAATGAATATTCATTGGTCCTTCCATTATGTGCAACATCTCTATCATATTGCCATGGTCTCCCAAGTGGTACATGTACAGCTTGCATTAGCGCCACATCACATAAAATCTGGTCTTTATACTGGCCAATGGATAGAGGAACTTCTACTTGTTTGTTCACTTTCAACTCTTCTTTTTCATTAAGCCATTTAAGCTTATATGGCCTTGGGTGAGGTTTAGCTTTAAGACCTAGCTTCTCTACTAAACAAGCACTAGCAATATTAGCACAAGAACCACTGTCAATTATTAAATGACATACCTTGTTCTGAATACTGCATCTGGAGTAAAAGAGATTGTCTCTTTGTTCTAGATCCTCCAAAACTGGTTGAGAGTTTAAAGCTCTTTGAATGACCAGTAATTCTCCTTCATCAGCATATACAATGATTTCTTCTTCTGATTCTTCAGCCATACTCTCAACTTGTGAATCATATCCACCATCTGGTCTAAGGATCATGGTCCTCTTGTTTGGACATTCTCTTGAAACATGACCCCTGCCTTGACATTTAAAACAAATAATGTCATGATGTCTATTTGAGTTGCTAGACTTACCTTGCTCTTGGCGTGATTCATTGGATTTGAATCTTGATTCTATAGCAATGGCTTTGCCTTTTGTCTACCAAGGGTGTTGGCATTGTTTGTTGCTGCTGTTGGGGTTGGTTTTGTTGGTTCCAAGCATTGTTGTTTGAGCGGCTTCTAGTAGAGGTTTTCTTCTTGATTTGTTGCTCTCTTTGAATGGCCAAGTGGAGAAGTTCTTGTAAAGAGTGGTAAGGCTGCATTTCCACCTTTCTTTGTATCCTCTCTTGTAAGCCATCCATGAATTGAGACATGAGAGACTCCTCTGTTTCTTCTAACTCCAGCCTACTTCTTAGAACATCAAATTCTTCAAAGTATTCTTCTACACTCTTGGTTCCCTGATACAAAGACCTAAATCTTTTTAGTAAATTTATGAGATAATGAGGGGGAACATACCTCTTTTGCAGCTCAAATTTCATGTCTGCCCATATGTTGATTTGAGGATATCTTAGTCTCCTCTTTTCAGCTGTTTCTCTGTCCCACCAAGCTAAGGCATGGTCAGTGAGACTTGCAATTGCTAGGGTCATCTTCTTTGGCTCATTGTAAGAGTAATACTCAAGCAAATGTTCCATCCTTCTTTCCCACTCTAGGTAGGCGGCTGGATCAATCTTTCCTGCAAAAGTTGGAGCAGCAAGCTTGACTTCTGGTGGCAATTTTCTGTCCTCTTGGTATGGCCTGTTGCGCTCAGCATTCCTTCTATTTAAAATTTCTGGGGCAGCTTGTACAGGGTCTGGTGCTCGTGGTGGTACATCAGGGGGCTCCTCCACACGGTTTGCTTCTTGTTGACCTCCTGGAATGTTTCTTCTTAGCAATAGATGAGGAGGGCGTGCTGGATTCTCCAAGCGATTTAACCTTTCAGCAGTGGCTTGGGTATTGGCGTTGAGGTTGGCAAGATTTTCGTTGATAGCTGCGAATTGTGTTTGCATCAAGGACATCATTGCCTGCATTGGGTCTACTGGTGGTGGATCTTCCATTTAGTACCTTGCAAATAAGATTCAAGTACAAAAGATCAAAGCTTGTTCAAGATAAATCACAAGAACACAAGAACAGTTTTCAGGCTGTTTTAGCAGTTGAATGAAAAATCAAAGATAAAATATCAAATGATTTGAATAATTCAAGAAACAATTTTTTTTGTTGTTTTTAAGGGTTTAATTTAACATAAACAAAAAGAAAATAATTTTTTTGAGTTTTTCTGGATTTATAAAAATCTAACAAAATGAAGAATACAGAATTAAGCGGTTTTGACCAATTGAATTGAAAAATCAAAACAAATTATCAAACGATCTAAATAATTTTGGGAAATAATTGTTTTGTGTTTTTAAGAGATTAAGTAAACCGAAAAAAAAATCAAAAACAATTTTTATGGATTTTTGGATTTTATAAAATTCGCAGAAGACAGATGAAAATTAAAACAGGTTTTGTGGGTTTTTAGTTTTATAAGAAAGGAAAGATGAACGAAAATAAAAATCAAAATCTTGAGAAGGGAACTGAAATCACCTGGATAAGGAGCGTTTAGCTCTGATACCAATGATTCAAGCCTCAAATGCTTAAGGAATGAGCCTTAGGATTTGTTGCTTATGTTGGATAGGATGGAAGAGAACACTGGTGGTTTTGTAGCCTTGTTGATGCTTGATGACCTCAAACACCAAGGGTTAGACTCTTCTCAGCTCAAGGGCTAATCCTAACAAGAGCATAGGAGATTTTACACGAAATTCTTCAAGGTTGAATCCTCAAAACACTTAAAGAAAACGCAGCGACAATTTGTATGCAAAGAAAAACTTTCTTTGAAAACAAAATAACTTCTTTTTGATTATAACTTGGGTAAAATGAAAAGTACAATGCTTTGAGCTTTATATAGGCTCGAAAATAATGAAATACAACGGTCATGAACATTAAAAATGGGGCAAAGATCAAGCTGAATGATGACTGATCTCTTTACTAGCCGTTAGGCTTCAATGAGCATATCCTTGACTTTGGCGATGAATGGGGAGGTTGTGATGATTCTTTGGCACGAAATGAATGTGAGGGATCTTCTAATGATGATGGATGGTCGAGATTGAGTGATGAGGGTGGTCGTTGTTCTTCAATATTGAATAGATATGAGTGATGATCTTCAAATGGGGAAAGCTTCTCCTTAATGTAGCTTTCTTTGACTTCTGATGGAATGGGGCGATTAATGACTTGTTGTGGTGTGGTATGACTCTTGTTAGCTGCTGTGGACGTGAGGAGGGTGGAATATAATGTCTTCATACAAGTGATATCTGTTGTTTCCTTAAATGGCTCGCTGAATGCTTCTCTTGGCTCAATCGTTGGTTTATGTGGATTTGGGGGATCTCCTTGGTTAAATGGCGGCTTGCACTGAACCAGGGACGGTTTGTGGCTCTCCTTAGTTCCAAAGAATGATTTAGGTCGGTCGAATATTATGTTGGTGTAACACATATTCCGACTTTCCTTATCTAGCTCATCCGGCTGTTCAAGGGTTGTATCTCTGATTTTAGATCGAACCGGCCTGGGTTTAGCTCGATCAATTTGCTCCTTGGGATGTATAGAATGCTGGTGTTTTGGTGTTTGGTCCTTAGCTGCTCCA